TCATCATCATCATCGTCTTCATCATCATCGTCCTCCTCCTCTTCATTCTCGTGTGTTGGTCCTAACCGGATCAGCATTGAAGTGCACTGTGAGTGCACACGCGCGCATACACACACGCACACACGCTTCAGGCTGGGTGGATGCTGCTCGGGCACCATGGAGCAAAAAGCAGCCAAGGATGAAGGCACGTCCAGGGGACAAGAGTCCTACCAGCGGCGGATGTGGAAGACTTTCCAGGAGAAAACCAAACCGTGGCTCAGTCCCAAATTGGGCTCGGAGCGTCGCGCTAGCGGCGGAGCAGAAAGCGCCAAGAAGGAGTCCGGACTGTGGATGTTCAAGAGGAAAAAGAAACACTTGGACCGAGTGTTCTCGTCCTCGCAGCCCAATCTGCGCTGCTCCTCTCCGCTGCTGTCACTCGGGAGCGGGGGGGACAAGCGCGGCGGCGGAGGCGACGCCGCGGCCGGGACCAGCCAAGGAGCCGAGGGGCTTCATCTCGGCGCGGCTTCCGGGAGCACGGGGAGCAAGCCCGAGCTGACGGCCCGCGGAAGCCCCAAGGTGCACGTCTCGCAGCTCGTCGCGTCCCAGCAGAAGAGCTCCTCGCTGGGCTCGGCGTGTTTCGAGAAGCTGGTGGTGGACCCGGCCGTGGTCCTGCAGGAAGAGGGGCAGCTGCGGAAGAAGCCGAGTGATGCTGTGAGTACAACTCCATTGCTGTACTTAACATGAAATGTCAACGATCGTGCATATTGCATTTGACCTGAATATGCAATTACACGTTTCGTGATGATGATGGTGATGCAGAGTGCTTACTCCATGCATGATTTACATTGCTCACTTAGGCAGCTGTAACGTAGGGTGGGCCTCATGACTGCAACGTCAGTAGTACGTAATACTGTACAGTATATTATCGACATGAGTGGGCCACAATATGAGGGGTGGGCCATTTGTTTTATATTGAGAGGGAAGAAATTTCATCTGTGCTGTATGTTACACATACGTACAGCACATTTGACAATAAAGTTGTATTCAATTCAATTCAATATTAGGGACACATGTACGGATGATGTGGAGCAGCATCCTGCCTTTTATATTCGGAAGTGCATGCCAATTCTGGGAGATGCTGTGGCTGAGCGTAAAGGGCAAAATCAGTGAGGAATATTTTCTGGATTAATGCATTCGAGTTTATCATAGCAAATTCCAGATACCATCAATCTAACCACTTCATGGCTGCAAGCAGAATACAAAATGATTATTGTCATTAAAAGACTAGATAGTAAAATCTCGGGTGGACTCAACACAGGAAAATTGCCCGGGGCATTGACGTTTCCAGGAGTCCCCAAAAATCTCATCGCTAGCTCGCTAGTTTAGCATGCAGCATCAGCCACAACAAGGATTGACTATTTATAGCACCAAAAGGCACAATAACCAAACAGGATTCTACCTTTAGCCCCGATGTGACACAGGTTCCTCAATAAAGTAAAGTAAGCCATTTTAAACTAAAAAGAAAAACCTTTCCATAGTTAGAAGCAAAACTTTTGAACCCAACCGGAACAACACGATTAGGGAACAGGGACTTGGGGTGTTGAAGAT